CAGGAAACGGTTTGAGGCCTTTGGCTGGGAACCCCCACTCAGAAAGTCTCCCTTTCACCTGGTGCCCCCCTGGCTCCCGGGGACTTGCGTTGCAACACATCACCCTCCGCGTCCCGTGGAGGCCTTAGACCGGGTGCTGCCAGCTGCCATCATGCGCATGTGGGTCACAGAGAGTCCCCTCTGGCTTCATCACAGACTCACGCTTCCTCCCCTCCCCCCTCCATTCCTGCAGGTGAGAAGCCCCACAAGTGCCAGGTGTGCGGCAAGGCCTTCAGCCAGAGCTCCAACCTCATCACCCACAGCCGCAAGCACACAGGCTTCAAACCTTTCGGCTGCGACTTGTGTGGGAAGGGCTTCCAGAGGAAGGTGGACCTCAGGCGGCACCGGGAGACGCAGCACGGGCTCAAATGAGTGCCCTGGCGGGCCACACACAATCACACAACACTAGGGAGGGCGGCCTGCCCACTGGCCAGCAGCCGCTTCTGACTTCTCAGGCCCCCGAGGCTGCAGATCCTACCTGGGTGATCCCCCTTCACCTCACAGTCTGGGAGCCCCTAGAGGGGATGTTACCTTTTCAAGGTTCATCCAGGAACGGGATCCAAATGACTCTGGGTGCCTTGGACACAGGGAACAGCCCCTCGAAAAGTGAAGTCTTATATCTTGGGACCCTCTGTCCTGCTCCCAAGACAGGAAGAAGGCCCTTCAGGTTTCTTCACTCCTTCTCCTGCCCCACCCAGACACTTGCGTGGAAAAGGAGGAATCGCTATTTACAAGGTGGACACACGTTAATGCCGTTGTCGTTTTGAATCAAGAATGAAGAAGGAGTGTTGGTATTTTCATTTTGGGGGGTCCGCTGACCCCTTTCTGTGAGGTGCTGCCTGTAAATCTTGGAGGAATCATTTCTCCCACTTGAAGACGGTTTCAGAAACTGATTTGGGGAAGTAGTTTCATACTTTTGAAGTGACAAGACACACTGAACAGCCTGGCCCCAAGAAAGAGTTCAAGAACGGTGGACTTGGTGATGAGAAGAGATTAGGGGCCGGCGAAGGCTTCATGGGGAGGAGGTGAAAGCACAGAGCAGCGCCCTTACAAGATAGCATCCATTCACTCAGCAAATGTTTGTTGGCCACCGGTTACCATGGTACCAGGCCCCCGCTGGATACGGGGGAACCAGATACTAAGGTCATGGCCCCGGGCTAACAGTCACACCTCCAGTGGCTGGGTCTGTTCTTTTCCTCCGAAGGAATTCCGAGAAAAAGCAGAATCGGGAACCTTCCCTTCTGACCCCTTTGGATTTTATCAGCCACAAACAAAATATAACTGAACAGATACTTCAAAGATGTGTGTGAATACTCAGTTTTTTACTGTTCAGCTGAATCTTTTTTTAAAGATGCCTAAGCTGGCAGGCGTGGGGGAGTGAAGGCTCTGTCTTCAACACTTAGCCCTTCCATATGCACCATACTGTTTATTTTCCTTTGGTGAGGTTTATAAATGTTTTTTAGATCTTCTGGAGTGCATTATGTTTGTTCATACGTATTTATTAGAGTGATGTTTTAAGTTAATAAAGTATTGAGACTCTTACATAGTGGGGTTTTTTTTGTTTTTTTGTTTGTTTTTGTTTTTAATTTAGGTAGGGGATTTGTGGAAGTCCTTTGGTTTAGTCTGTAGGGGGAGTTGGCGCTGAAGTAAAGCAGATGAGCCATCATCCAGAAGCGGGGGGAATTCAGTTGCTCTGGTTTTCCGATGCTGCTTTTCTTCTCTTCTATGCCTCAGAGGGTCTTATTTCTTAATAGAAACACGAGGCGCACAATACGAGGCTCCTACCTTGTAGAGTCTCTGACAGCTGAGCATGTAAAGGGTGTCCCAACATTTTGATAGAAAACACAGGTTTATAATTAAAAATTGTAAATTTTTTATTGCTTCATAAAGTGTACAGTTATGGGGTTATGCATGGAATAGGACATCAGGTAAATGGCCTTCACAGCTTTGCCGGCACATACGCAAAGCCGTGGTCTTCATTGGTCTTCATTGTCCCTGCTCCTGGGCCATAATTGGTACTTGGTAATGCTTATCAAATTGAAGGGATTGAAATCAAAGGGCAACAGATATTAGAATCTGATTCAATAAACCAAGTAAAATTAGGCTTTTATTTTGTTGTCGTTAATGCTCACGCAAAATTCAAATCTTGTGTGAATTTTGGGACACCCTTTACATAGGCTCTTTTTTCTGAGAGTTTCAGAAGAGGGTTGCAAGATGAATAAAGAAATCACAAGCCTGAGGTCTAGAGATTGAGTCTTAAATCGCAGTTGTCACCAACACACCATGTAACTTGGGCAAATCCTGTGACCTCCCTGATATCAGTTTCCGTGACTATAAAATGTAGATATGGTTGTATCATCCCAGTATAACCCTGACTACTTTGATTCTGTGGAGATTGGAAAGATGGTATGTGAGATTGGTTAGCTGCTATGCTCAAGGTAAGTTACAAATCTAAAGATGCATGAGGGGCAGGGAAATTGCTCTCTGGGTTATTTCTGGCTCTATCCACCTACGGGAATTTCTTGCACAAATCAATTCCTTAAACCAGAATAAGGTGCTGGCCTAAATCCCAATTACCTGTAGCTTTTTAAAAACATCTCCAGCCAAGGTATGCATGACTCATGGTGACCACCATCAGACTGTCCATTTCTGTTCAAATCAACTTCACACATATTGATTGAACACCTACTATGTGCCTGGCACTGTTCTCAGTGCTGGGATACAGAAGTGAGCACAGTATCTTGTGGAGCTTTATTTATTTGGTCACTGCTGAGTCTTCCAGAACAGTGCCTGGCACACAGTAGGAGATCAATAAATCTTTACTGTCCAGCCAGTGCGGCTGAGTAGTTGAGTGTCGACCATGAACCAGGAGGTCATAGTTCCTTGATTCCTGGTCTGGACACATGCCCAGGTTGCGGGCTTCATCCCCAGTAAGGGGCGTGCAGGAGATAGCCGATCAATGATTCTCTTTCATCATTGATATTTCTGTCTCCCTTCCTCTCTCTGAAATCAATTTAAAAAACACATATTTAATAAATATTTGCTGAGATGTTAACTGAATAAGCAGACAATGTAAACTCCTGCTTGCTCCAGGCTGGCTCTGTTCCTTACAGCACAAAAGGAAGAGAAATTGCAGGAAGTAAACAACATATAGGACTCTGAGTTGGTGGGTCACGGGGGCTTTGACGCTGCTTTTTCCAGTTTCTCCAAAATCTCAGTCCTCCATGTCAGTTTATTCTCATTCAGAATTTAAATTTGTTTGGTCTATAATGCAAGTTTAAGATAATTTTCCGTAACTGTTGGGTGAACAGTTGCAGTATCCAGGAATCTCTTCCTCGTGTCCTGAGGGGCAAAGTTCTCAGTGAATAAATACCAAAAACTTCCTTTCTACAGAATTCACCATGTACACTGGTTGAGAATTTCCAACCTGGTTTGAAAAGTAAAGAAGGTACATGGAGAGGTAAGTAGAACTGACTGAAATCTAGTTGTCTGTTTAAAACTTTTGGTCCATTTTCATAATCCCAGTTTATGCTATACATGAGGAGTTTTAATTTTTCTGTTAACAGTGTGCCTTTTTTGGGAGGGGAAACATACCTTGATATCCCCAGTGCAGAATCAAAACAAATTACTGTGCCTGGTCCTGTGTGAAATTTGAAGATTGCAAATATCTCTCTTAATGTTATTACTTGACTCCATTAAAAATAGATTGTGAATATTCCATGTCACATTATTCATGAGGCAGGCCCTATGTCTTTTGTCTGCTGGAGTAACAGTAGAAAGGGTAACAGGAGACACCAGAGCACACCTTTGTTTCTTTCACTAAATTTTTAATAACACCTCCAGCCAGCCAGTTGGTGAAGCTCAGCTCTTGCATAAAAGTGGAAAAGCACAGCTATCTCAGAGAAGACCAACTCTTTCAGTAGCTAATTCGAGTTTGCGTTCATCTACACCAGAGATGATTAAATTACCTATCAAGTGTGCTGAGTATCAGGATTCAGGCCACCATGTAAAAGGTGAATTTCATCTGATTGATTTGAGACATGAATGGAACAACTGAGTTTTAAAAGCCCCGCCTTCATTAAAGGCACAGCAAAGTGTCTCCCTGGGCCGGTTCTTGACTGCAATTGCCCTTGAAAATTGGGTGGCAATAGTGATTTGACCCTAGTCGTTTTGTTGTGTGCCTGTTTGTTTAACTGGATTAACAGAAAGACATACATTCAGTGGAAGGCCCGAAAGGACTCGTCTACTGTCCACTGTACGTGTCTAGAGCTCTATTTGTCTAAATCTCTGCTGCTATATTATTCCTGACACTTGTCAGGAAGTCCATGATATAGTTCATTCATTGACTCAAATTTTAAAAATTAAAAATAAGAAAATTTACCCCAAACCCTTCTAGCTTAAGTCCATATTTTTTTTCCTTAACGTCCTTCCTGATAGTTACCTACGTGTGTGTAGATGCACATTTTACATTTTTACCCCGTGATCAGCGTATTTACAGTTCATGTCTAGATAGCTCTCTTATTTATAATATGGACAACATACTCAAAATTGAAATACGTATTTATATTTCACAATGAGAACTTAGACAATTTTTATGGTTAAGATTTATTGAAATCTGAGCATTTCTTAGGAATTTTATCAGCCATTAGCATAAAGTCTTTTCTGAAGTTTTACCTTAAAGTTATTCACTTTTTAAATAAAACATTTCAAGCATATGGAAAATTACAGAGCATAATACAGTAACCATCATTCTACCACATTTCTTCTGATTTTATTTTTGAAATAAAATATTACAGGCATGGTTGACTATCTTCTGGAAAATGTTCTTCCCTAACCCCATTTCCTTTCCGCTTTCTGCAGAGGCATCCACTATTCCAAAGTTGATACATGTTATTGACATGAATATTTTTATGCCTTTCCTTACATATGTCACCATAAATAATATGTAATACTATTTAGCATATTTTAACTTAATACAAGTATTATTGCAGAGTATATATACTTCGCATCTTGCTTTTTTTCCCCTCAACACTTTGTTTCTGAGGTTTATCCATGTTGGTACATGACGTTTTGCTCATTTATTTTAACTGCTGCACGTAGAACTCCGTCACAGGAATACTCGGTGATTATTTATATATTCTGTTGGAAGAGTTTTGGTTATTTCCAGTTTTCCCTACCACAGTTCCGAAGTGAGCAATCTTGTACTTGTCTCCTTGTAAAGAGATTTTGTTAGGATATATTCCTGGAAATGCTGGATATTACCAGTGTTCTCCAAAATAATGATATCAAATTATATGTCTACCAATAGTATAGGAGAATTCCTTTTGCTCTATCTTTAAGCAACACTTGGTATTGTTAGACTTTTAAAATGTTTGCCAATCAGATGGGTGTGAAATATTATTATAATTTGCATTTTCTGGTTGCTAGTGAGGTTGACTATCTTTTCATAAGTTTATTGGCCTGACAGGTTTCCTTTTCTGTGAATTGCCTATTCATGTACTTTATCCATTTTTTTTAGTTGGGTTGCTTGCTTTTTATCAATTTATTTAAAAAAATATATTCGAAGTACTTACTGTTTTGTTAGTTAAGTGTGTTGATACATCTCCTAATCTGTAACTTGCCTTTTCACTTCGGTTAAAGAGAGAATTTTTTAAAATTTGCTTTAGTGTTGTTGTAGTCAAATGTATGAGTCTTTTTCTTTATGCTTTTTACAGCTTAAAAAAAACTTCCTTAGTTGGTGGTCATAAGCTCAACCCCTGTATTTTCTTCTAGAAATGTTAAAATGCTTGCTTATTAGCTTTTAGTCCACTTTTGCGTATATGATGTGAAATAGGATCTAATTTTAAAAAATTTTTCCACATGGATAACAATTATTCCAACATTTATTGCAAACTACATCCTTTTCTCTGAGTTTGTAATGCTCTGTCATATGTCAAGCTCTGTACAATTCTGTCTGTGGGTTTCTTGATCTTTTCCACTGGTCATTTTGTCTATGTCTATGCAAATGCCATAGTGTCTTAATTAAACTTATAATAAAATCTTAGTAACTAGTAGGGAAGGTTTCCCTCTGACTTCTTTCAACCTCTTCAGCAAAATCTTGGCTACATATGGCCCTTTACTCTGGCTTGTGAAAACCTCTGTTGGAATTTTTATTTGTACCACATTTATTATTTAACTGGGGAGAATTGAAATCATTTTGATATTGATTCTTCTCATCCATAAACATGGTACATTGTTCATTTTATTTGGGTCTCCTTTTATGTCTTTCAGTAACATTTTACAATTTTGAAATAATTTTCTTTTTTCTTGTGTGTGTGTTTTTTGTTCATTGCTCTCATAGTTCTGTCTGCTGCTGTTGTGTGAGAACAAAGCTATCATTTTTTTAATATGTTCATTTGTATCCTGCAACTTTGTTGCACCTTATTTTTGTTTGTTTCAGATTGTTTTAGATTTTTTTATGTACAATAATCATAAAGTATGCAAATAATTAAAGCTTTGTTTTGTTGTTTCAATGTACTCTTCTTCACTAAC